TTGAAGCAGTACCGAAATTTTCGGTGCGTTTTGTTTTAGGTAATAATTGTCGCCACCAAAGTTACCGAAAATGCAACACTACCGAAACTTTCTGCTTTTACAGTACACTGTGTAGAACTCTGGTGGAATGACTGGGGCCGGCGCCCTTACTTGCTTAGCGCGTACACACACTGTAACACTGCAACACTGTAGAAATGGACCAGCAGTGTTACAGTGTTACAGCAGTGCCCAAGGCTGCACGGCCAGCACCCCGTGGCCGCTTGACTTCTCAACGGATTGCAATGTCCGCAACAGTACCCACCGGATTGCACTCACCTGCAGGACACTCTCTCCGTGTCCTTGCTTCAAGCGACTCGGCGGGAAGTTAGCCGGTACTCCCGCCGCCTTGAGGTTTGTTATCACCGTGGAAACGACGGCGTTCGGGTCATCGTACTCCTGAGCATACGAACACACACACACGTGCACACACACACACACACACACACACACACACACACATGCACAAGCAGACAACAGACACAGTAGTCCACATAAGCTCGGGGTAGGGAGAGGGGTGGGGATTATTGCTACATCATGACTGAGCAGTGTCACCATCATCGTATTCACGGTGGTCGGGGCATGATGGCGCGATGCTTCTTCGGTAGAAACATGCCAGTAGGCAAGTCAGATCTGCCTGTTGTTGGAAAGTCTTGGACGCACTCTGCTTCCCTCTCACAAATGAACACTTTGACTATATTTTTGTTTAAAAGCATTGTCACACCATCCCATGACGGGTCGCACACGCATGCGTGCATGGACACCCACCCACCCATGTACTCACCCCCACGCTCCATGCGTACCCACACCCTCACACACGCATACACACACACACACACACACACACACGATGCGGTGGCCATACCTGCATTTTCTCCATCTTCTTGCCCTGCAAGGACAGTAGCCACGACACCAGCGACGCAAAGTGAAAGAATTGCTGACTCGTGTCTCCCGCCAACGCAAAATGATGCCTGGGGAATGGCCGAATCTCATTCTGCGCGCAGAATTCATGTTCATAATTCAGCAGCTTCAACTTGTCCAGTAAGTCTTCCATCATCATAACCGGTATAAACAGCGAGCCAGCCACGGGAGCATCTCCACCACCGCCGCCACCTCCACGACGTCCCGAGTCTTCACCGGCCTCTGCCATACTCGCCCTGGCTGCTCACCCTGGCTACGAACCCTGGCTACGCACCCTGGCTATTCGCCCTGGCTACTCACCCAGGCTATGCACCCTGGCTACTCACTCTGGCTACGTACCCTGGCTGCTCACGGCACGCTATGATCATACATAGGCTGAGATCACACACGTCCGGTACTGTTGTTGTCGTTGATGATTTTATTTGGATTCGCGGACCAAAACGGATAAATATATCCAATAACTGGCAACGGCGTGCTGGTGTCGCTGCAACCGCAGCAGATGATAAACTTTTGCAACTGCGTCAGTCCAGCAGCTGTCTCTCTCCGCAACCAGGGATCGAACCAGAGCATACAGCCGCTGAGAGAACGGTGAGAACCAGGGACTGGCCGAGGAGCTAGACACGCCACGCGGAGCAGGTCAAGTCACTGGCCCGTGCAGTATCAGGGTAGCGATATCGTCACGTACATGCAAACACGGCAAGACAGTGTCCGACGTGTCTGTCTGGACTACAGTCTACAGTGCGAGAGTAACAAAGCTCCTTTGCCCCAGCTCTTGCTCTCCCACCAAGTCCGTCAAAAACCATGTAAATAGCAGCCGCAAAGACAACTATCGGTCAACACCGGTTCCAGCGCTTATGGCGATCCGTCCACTCAACACTTAGGCCATTAGGGTTCTAATCTACTACGCCAGTCACTACTATCACTAAACGTCTTGACAAGTTCCTCAGCATTCGAACTATGGCTATAAATTTTCTTATTCAAAACGCACTCCTGTTTGACCCGACGGCAAGACTGTATTGAATATGTCGCTATTACTGTGAACAGCGAGTCCCGGGTGTTGTTGTCCACGACGCGATCGCTACAAGCAGCACACTGACCTAGACTAACTCTGCGTCGGAGAACGAAAACTGACTGTCCAGGCTGGGGCAGTCTCGCCAGGCTTTTAGTTTTATTGAGCTTGGGAATGGAGTGGCTTTGAAGTTTCACGCTTCCACTGCTGCTATGCAGCTCCACATCGACTTCTGTGTGAAGAAAACAATCTCGCTCCGCGATCCGTTCGCTCTCACACGAATGACACACACGTACACACCTATCGTGATCTAGATCTACACTACAGCCCGTAGGTTGTTTGGGGCCCGTTTGTTTCCCGTTGACGCGCGCGAGTTTCTAAGCAACGCATTAATTATTAATTTTAGTGAAAAAGGACTGAAACTACTAGTAGTACTAGTACTACTAAAAACTTCAAAACCCACCACACCAGCAGGGAAACCTGCACGATTGTTTCACAAAGTACACGGGTCACCAGGTCACCTGCTGCTGGAGTTTGATTAAACCGCTTTAGTTCACATGACGACGAACCGACCGCGTATCCTAGTGACAGGAAAATGGCGCTGCCGAAACAGCCGCGGCGTCGGTCCAGCTTTTTTTTGCTGAATGTTGTGCAAGCTTTTTGTACACTGCTTTTCTGCTTTCGACTCACGAAAAGGAGATTTGTTGGATCAATATTATTTTTAGCGGTGCTGCAACGCTTTCAGCGAAGGTCCTCTCTTTGCTACATTCCTCCAGTTGTGGAATTGCTCTTCAAAGAAGTAGCTAGTGTCCGTGTTTTGGCAGAGGATCAAAAATGCCGCAGTTGACAGAGTTTACCGATGAGGAGTTGGAAGTGAGTCTGCATTGTGTGTCAGTCGATAAATTTTCGGTGCATTGTGTTCGAAGCTCAATGCACTGCTTTGGTGTTCTTAGTAATGTATGCAGTCGTATCTTTATCGGTAGAAGTATCCAGGGATATCCCTTGTATTCTGTTCTGTCATTAGAGCTGAGAATTCTTTTCTAATTTTCAGAGCGACCGTAGGGGTGCTGGATTTGAAGATACGAATTTGAAAATAGGACTTTTTTGTTTTGTAATTTCAATCCATTTTCTCTCTGTAAGACCTGCTGTGTGCCGGCTACAATGAGGTAGTGGTGATGGCGGTGTGAAGTGGAGAGCAGGTAGTGTGTCGAGTCTACGAGAGTGTCACGTTGGTGGGCTGGAGGCTACTATTGCTATCGCTTGCAGGGTGTGTTATCCCATTTTTCGTAATATTGCAGTATAAAAAATTCCCAGGGGCGCCTCACGCAGTTTCGTGTGACATGATTCATTCATAGGCAACTTGCCTACACTCAATAAGCAATGCAGTTCACACATCAAGTAATTATTTCAACGTTTTGGTCTACATGACCATCGTCAGTAGTCAGGATTGCAGGATTATTTAAAAAAAAATAGAATTGCCAATTTGGTGTCAGTTCTGGTCAGAGCTGCAGGAGGTGTTATAAACCTCTTGTTTCCATGAGTGGAATTGACGTGAAATAGCTTCACTTCGCCCACAGCCATGCCTCGGAATGTATTGTATAGTGACATCATCACTCGTTAACAAAATTCTTGGAGACAAAAGGCACTTACGCGAAAAGATCAAACTAGTTACTTCAGATGTTTCACACGTAGACCTACACCTTTCCTTCTATGGGAATGACGTCACACATTCACTGCTATTGTTTCTGGCTTCTTTTCTTCGCGCGATTCTATCATCCCTCTGCACTACTTTAAACATTAATTTTGTTTTATTCCAGTAGCTATTCCCGTAGCTATTCCCGTAGCTATGCAAAAGATGTTACTTCAGTAACGTCTGGCGCTAGCCAGGGTCCACACGGCTTTAATTCCGTTTGTTTGTTTGTGCCTGACGGCGTCGGCATGTGGCGCTATCCCGTACATGCCCCGTGCCGTATCATCATGCGACATACACAGCTGGCCACCTTATTCAAATAGGGCTTTCCAATGCAAGATCATAACGTGAAGCAACTTGGAAGAATGTGTATGTATGCGAAGTGTATCGGGCGAATGCATGTAGGGCGATAGTGCAGGCTCGAATCCCATGTTATGTCTTGAAAAATAGGAGAAATGAAAAAATATATAACATCTAGAAAGGAAAAGGAAATATAGATACGAGTTGAGAGTAACTCTCCATCACTTTAACCAGATACTATACACAGTCAGAAAGTGCAACAACTAGGCACAAAACTGACAGAGTACTGAGACATTCGAACTCTACGGAGATGTGTTGAAGCTAGGTGTCAGGACGTCGAATGTCTCAGTACTCTGTCAGTTTTGTGCCTAGTTGTTGCACTTTCTGACTGTGTATAGTATCTGGTTAAAGTGATGGAGAGTTACTTTCAACTCGTATAATATATATTTCCTTTTCCTTTCTACATTTATTATTGGCTCAACATCCGAGTTTCAAATTATAACATCGCTATGCTTTTTTTTTGCCTTGATCATCAAAGTTGTAGATGGAGTTGTATTATCGCATTAATGATCGAATGTTTTTGGGTGTGCTGCTAATGGGCCGGGAATGTCTTTTTTTAAATTTATTTTACTTCGCAAAGTTTAAGGGGAAGTGCATCGATTTTTCGAGTAGGGTCCAGAAGAAAGACAATTTGATATCGGTTCAAATGGCGTATCTCTCGCTTCCATACGATAAGCCAAACTTGCCAAATCGCAAATTGTATACACACGTTGCCATAGCGACCAGCGCAGTGATGACGTATGAAAGGCTTAGCTCTCCACAGAGATGGTCGATCGCTGCAGAAATTGGTCGTTTTCAATTGTCTTGTTGTTTTCACGATGTGAAAGAAGCGCTGTATTCAATGCTATTAGTGCCGTGAACTGTTTATCGGCCTTCTCCTACATTTCCCTAGGTCGACTGTGCCCGGGAAATGGTTCCTCTAGGAGAAGATGCTTGGTATTCGCCATCTCTCCTGAGACATTTTCAGCAAACTTTCAAACCTACGACATTATTGCATTCGTCAATCTCCACCACCCGTCGTCTCACCTGGCTTCAGAAGATGTTACCAGAGATAGGAGAATCGCCAGGAAGCATCACATCCATCTTCAGGAAGTGGAAAGAGCAAACGGCATGGTCCTTGGTTGGTGAAATGCTGAACGTCTGATTTGTCCCAACCAAGATTTCAGCATTTTGTTCGTCACTATTTTCGCTTGTCTGCTGACGTTTTCGCACTCCAACTTTCTCCTGTCGGTGTCACGTCCCAGTGCCCAACCGAGAGGACTACTAATAAATAGTTCACTGCACTAACAGGATTGAATAAACCTTCGTTAATACAATAAACCAATTGAAAATGACCAATTTCTACAGTGAATCGACCTTCTCCGTGGTGGAGCTAAGCCTTTCGTACGTCATCACTGCGCTGGTCGCTATGGCAACGTGAGTATACAATTGGCGATTTGGCAAGTTTGGCTTATCGTATGGAAGCGAGAGATATGCCATTCGAACCGATATCAAATTGTCTTTCTTCTGGACCCTACTCGAAAAATCGATGCACTTCCCCTTTAAACGGGTTCATTGCCCAATAATAATATAGCGAAGGGTTGGGGGGGGGGGGGGGGTAACGTTACATAATAATTATCTGTCGTAATCAAATGTGCCAGTACTCAGTAGTGAGGAATAAAGGAGCAGAAGAACAGCAGAAGGGTAAAAGTAGGCAAGGTGTATCACCGTTGTGTAAGTATGTACAGTCAGACCTCGCTTATCCGGTCCTCGTTTATCCGGATCCCTCGCCATCCGGAAGAAAATAGTTGGTTACAAATGTACAGCATATGCCATGCTTACATACAGTATGTGTGTTCGATTATCCGGTTCCCTCGCCTATCCGGATATTTTTGTGGAAAACGGATGTGTGCGGTTAAGCGAGGTCTGACTGTACTCTAGTTGGGTAAGGACGGTAAAAGCACTAGTGATATCACAGTATGCCTGGTGGCAGGACACTACTACTAGTGATATCACAGTATGCCTGGTGGCAGGACACTACTACTAGTATCACGGTATAGTCGGCCAGGCATTCGTCAGGAATGCATTATAGTCATACATCGCAGCAATACGACAGGCAATTCAGTTTAAACTTAGCGAGCCACGAGATGGTCCGCACATCTTCCGGTAGAAGGTTCCACAAAACAGCACTTGCCACCGTGGGCCGGGATTTGCTGGCTGAGAAGCCCTCCGGTTTGTTCCAGAGGTTGTCATGTGACAGGCTCTGGTGCAGAGCTAGAGTTGCTGTTGCTGTTCGATAAAGGGGAGTAATTAGAGGGCTGTTGTCCAGGATGAAATGGGATTGCACTAGGGTTTAGTCGGGTGTCCTCGTGGGATACTAGTAGTTGGGAACTTGTACGATACATAAATGTGAGCAATGAGAGAGCAAACAAAACAGCTTCAGACTGTACTTACCTTTATTGCACGAGCGGCTTCCTCTGCGGGTAACTGCAACGCGTTCGAAAAGCGTCTCCCTCTCGCGGGCTGATGCTTCATTAGCCCATGTGCCCTGTGGTTCTGCTGAAGTGTCGCGCTGACAGGGATGCAGAACGTCCTTGGGCGTGTATGTATGCTTTCCAGTAGCCAAAGTGAAGCCCTCGTCGTCTGGGGAGGTGTGAGCTGCTTTGCCGCGTGGACGAGCAGGGAAAGCAGAAGTTCCTGGGGCAGTAGCTGATGGCTGAACCTTCAGTGGAGCAAGCTCCTTTGGCGGGGACTGGTATCTTAGATGCCTGGGATGCCTTCTTTCTACGTGGCGGCTGCTGCGCCTGTTGTTCTGTTGTTGTTCTGGGGCTGGAGGGCCGCTTGACACCACCTCCACCATGACACCGGCGTCCAGGGCACCTGTTTGACGAGGTTCATGGTCTGGGTCCTGGGCGGCCGCGGCTGGGGTTGGCGGGTGAACAGTTTGGCCTTGTACGGCAGTAGAGTACGGTGCTTGCTGAGAGTGCGTAGCTCATCGAGTTTGGGCGACCTGGGCAGTCACGTGCCTTGTGCTGGGTAACCTCGCAGCGGTAACACGTCTGCACCTGGTCACGGTGGTACGTACGGTACTCCTTTCGGCCAATGCGTACTTTACAGGGCATGTGTACTCCTTTCTTGAGGACCATGGACCATTCTGCGCACCCCAGTGAGAATTTTAAAATTCTCAAAGGGAATGCTTTCGCATTCAATTTTGCCGAGTAAGACAGCGGTGTCCTTAAGTAGGACGGTGGTATCGACGGCTGCCTGCTCTGGAGTTGTCATACTTGACTGCCAAAACGTGGTGCGGGTGTTGTTTGTGCTCGTCGGATTTTCCTTTCACCATGCACACCGGAAAACAAGTGTGTGTGTGTGTGTGTGCGTGTGTTTGTGTGTGTGTGTGTGTGTGTGTTTGCGTGTGTGTTTATGCCCACCTGGTAGACCGTTGAGGAGACAACCATGGAGCGCCTGTGGGGACTGACCGAGATGATCCCTGAGTCTGCATACTCAGTCACCAACACAACATACGCTGGTGGCAAGGTACTCTATCCCTGTGTGTAACTGTGTGTGTGGGTCTCTCTCTCTCTCTCTCTCTTCTCTCTCTCTCTCTCTCTCTCTCTCTCTCTCTCTCTCTCTCTCTCTCTCTCTCTCTCTCTCTCTCTCTCTCTCTCTCTCTCTCTCTCTCTCTCTCTCTCTCTCTCTCCTCTCTCTCTCTCTCTCTCTCTCTCTCTCTCTCTCTCTCTCTCTCTCTCTCTCTCTCTCTCTCTCTCTCTCTCTCTCTCTCTCTCTCTCTCTCTCTCTCTCTCTCTCTCTCTCTCTGCTTCTGCCAGGGTTGCAGTTCAATATGTCATTGTGTACACCTGACCCCTCCGTCTAATACAGGTGGTGTCCTGTCTGTACATGGTGGCATATCTCAGCAAGCATGACTTGATCACAAGCATGCTTTTACGTGTGGATCCTAACCGAGTGCTTCTGCCTGCTGCCTGCTCCTGTCTCGATTTCAATACCGATGTGAGCAGGGTAGATTGTGTGAACTACTGTATGGTGGTCATGGATGGCAGCTGTCAAGTATTCCGGGCTGATCTTGGGCTTTTCAAAATGCCTGAGTGGTTCAGGACTGCCTGCCGCTTTCTAAGGGCTATGTGATCTCTTTTGTGTTGAAATTTTCTGTGTTGAGAACTAATGTTGTGTCTCCTGTTTGTTATGCTGTTGTGTGTGTGTGTGTGTGTGTGTGTGTGTGTGTGTGTGTGTGTGTGTGTGTGTGGCACATGGTGTGTGTGTGTGTGTGTGTGGCACATGGTGTGTGTATGTGTGTGTTTGTGTGCATTCGTGTGTTTGTGCATGTGCGCTCGTTTGTTTGTTTGTGCATTCGCACGTGCTCCCGTGTGTGTGTGTGTGTGTGTGTGTGTGTGTGTGTGTGTGTGTGTGTCTGTGTGTGTGTCTGTGTGTTTGTGCAGGCGATACTAAAGTTTGTGCGTAGCTCAATTTGGATCGTGTCAACGTCACTAATAGTGCTTGCACTGCCGGCTGCTCTGGAGGCAGAACGTGTCAACATGGAGATCTCTCGTGAGCAGGAGCAGAGACAGGTACTACTACACTCCATGTGTGTGTATTGTATGTGTGTGTGTGTGTGTGTGTGTGTGCGTGTGTGTGTGTGTGTGTGTGTGTGTGTGTGTGTGTGTGATTGAAAAAAGGAAAAATAGCTATTCCCTGGCCAGAAAAAGCAGAGACAGGTACTACTACACTCCATGTGTGTGTATTGTATGTGTGTGTGTGTGTGTGTGTGTGTGCGTGTGTGTGTGTGTGTGTGTGTGTGTGTGTGTGTGTGTGTGTGTGTGATTGAAAAAAGGAAAAATAGCTATTCCCTGGCCAGAAAAAGTCACTTCAATCAGCTGTGTGGTGGATACCAGGCTAAAATTAGTGGCGGTCAATTCATCAGCCTTGCAAGCTGTTGAATGGTGTAATCCCAGCACAAGTTGAAATGTTTAACATGGCTGTTCGCTATCATCGCTTCGGCGATGGGCATGTCTGAGTCTGAGACGTGTGTGTGTGTGTGTATGTGTGTGTGTGTGTGTGTGTGTGTGTGTGTGTGTGTGCACGCATGTGTGTGTGTGTGTGTGTGTGTGCGTGTGTGTGCGTGTGTGTGTGTGTCCCATATATGGTGCAGTGGTATGTGCAGTCGATTTCCAATCGAGAGGTTGCGGGTTCAATTCCCGACGATTATGGTCGCACACGTCTTTCTTCTCTGTCTCATTCTCCTAGCTCTTCTTTCATTCTGCTGGGTGGTTACCAACAGGCAGTGTATGCAGGAGTATGCGGTGTGGCGTGTGTGCGTGTGAAAAAATGGAATTATGAAAATTGGGATTCACTGGCCAGAAAAAGCCATTTCAATCAGCTGTGTGGTGGATACTAGGCTAAAATTAGTGGCGGTCAATTCATCAGCCTTGCAAGCAAGGTGTTGATTGGTGTAATCCCAGCACAAGTTGCTATTTCTAACATAGCTGTTCGCTATCATTGCTTCCGCGATGGGCAGGTCTGAGGTGTGTGTGTGTGGGTGTGGGTGTTTACTCGGTCTAAGCATGACACGCAGCATGCACACACATGGTCATGACTGAATGATGTCGATGTTGTTACCGTAAAGTACCACGAGAGCTCTCCAACCTCCTCCTCCTCCTCGTCCTGTCATGATGGTGTTGTGGAGGAGCTGGTGTCCTGTGTGTAGGTCATACGGTACGCACATTGCTCGGGTTTACCTTCGAGTGGATTTGAGCTCCACACAAGACTATGCTACCCTTATAGACTAACGTTCTCACACTGTACAAAATGAGCTGCACTCTACTGTCGTGGCGTGGACATGGAAATCTGGTTGAATGACCGGGGCCGGCGCCCTCAGTGTGTACAGAACGCTGCATGCAGTGCACGTGTCAATGTGATGCGACCAGCGCTGCAGCGCATACATTAATGTGTGTACCGTATGCGTACTCACGGCTGCATGACCAGCGCCCTGGGGCCATTTGACCTCCGACCTGATTTCCATGTCCACGACAGTACCATACGATTTTCATTTCCCTGGCTGTGAAATCGAGATGGGCCGCACTCTCGTGAGACTGTGCCCCCTCGTGGTGCTTTTCAGCATCAGTTGACAGTCCTGTTCTAGGCTGTAGACTCAGGTGCTCGAAGTCCGTACACTTTTACAGTGTGTGTTTGCCGAGCTGAAACTCACACTAGCAATGATCACTTGCCAGAATCCTGCTCGTGGATGGAAGGTATCTTGTCCAAGTTTGTTCTGAGGCCAGGCTCGATTGAACCAGGCCATCTTTCGATCCGATCTGTTTCTCTGGAGTTCGCTGATTTTTCTTATCAAATTTTGGTGTCGCAGAGGGTGCGCTAAGTCCGTACTGATCAGAGGTGACTCCAAATACACACATATTTCTGCTAATTGCTATCTTGCAATCCCTCGGTTACGACGAAAGCACCGAAGCGATATGTTTGGCATGTGCCTCCACCAGTATTTATTGCATAAGCGTAGTTTGTTGCCGAAATGCAAGCTGTTTTAGTCGGCTCAGAGAAGAAGCAGCTGCGCTGTGAAAACCGCGGGAAAACAGTGGTGGAGATGCCAGGAGTGTCAACCTTTCTGCAATGATTGGTGGTTCTCTGTAAATTCTTCTCCTCTGGCCATTCTCAGCTCTAAGCTGGCTCTTGATGATTGAGTGAAGGTCTGTTTGACGCTGTGTCCGTTCGAAATCGGTCTTGGCAAAGTTGATTTTTGCATGAAATGTAACCCAATTTGTATTTCGTATGGACACTCGAAAACCCACTCGCGTGGTATGGGACTTCTGCTTATCGTAGATCCCTGAAAATTGCTACGGGAGGAGAACATACCACACTGTCCCGTCCATAAAATGTTTGAGTCGAATACAATAACAGAACATGAAATTATAGGCGTACGAACTTAGGATAGCATGTACGGACTTCGAGCACCTGGGTCTACCAACCAATTACTGTAATTCTGTGTGTGTGTGTGTGTGTGTGCATGCGCGCGTATCTTTGTGTGTGTGTGTGTGTCTGTGTATGGCTGTGCATACGTGTGTGTGTGTGTGTGTGTGTGTGTGTGTGCCCGCTTGCATACTGTTCTCCACTCTGCCCTCTGTCCAGGCACTGTTTGGAGCACAGCAACCACCGATGTAACCACAGCACGTACTCTGAAACTGACTTACTCGCGGGTTACGAGGGGCAACGTTCTAACTTCTTGCCCTTTGCGAATACAATCACAGTGCAGCCGCTTTACACACACCTGGAGGAGCTTGTTCAAACTCCCAACATTGACTCTTTGTCTCCATGCTCTCTGATCGTGACCCATTTCAGATCTATCACCGTGCGTTGATGGATCACCCAGTGCTTGCCTATCCCAGCTATCACAGCTTACTAGTATGTCAACAGTAGACTCATGTCTTGGTTATCTGGGCATCGCAGTCATGGACACTGTGGCTCAGCGTGTACCTATTGTTTTGCCCAGGTTAGGGACGTATTGCTGCTTATTGGCCACTTTTTTTTTTAATTTGACAAGGGGTTGTGATATTCTGTATGACTGGCCTTTCGGCATCGCAGCGTACGTGACTCAATGCAAATAACAGGTTATCTCCATCTTGTGTTCATTGCTAGGCCATGGATTGCCGGATAAACGGTGTTTGACTGTGAGTTGGTGAGCAATGATTTGACCACAGGCAACAGTGAGCTCTTGGCTGTTGACTCGTGAGTGAGTTCTTTTGTGGAGTAGAACGGGCACACTTTCAAGCTCTGGTCACTGGCGGGGTCTGCTGGCCGTGTTGCTACAATGACAGCATGTGCCTTCTGCGGTTGTGGTCGGTCAGAACGGGAGTTTCCCCACCCCCGTGTACATGGTTGTACTGTGTGTATGCGGGAGGTTGATTTCAAAAACACGCTTTTTCCGTTCTCTTTTAATTTGGAAAACTCCGCCTCCAGCCGAGTCTCAAGCGAACTCAGCTGGGACATTTTTTTAACGTTTACAGGAACACTGCAAGCATGGCCGCACTTATGCAAGTATGGAGCCTTGGCACTCAGGTGGCTGTGTCTGCGCTCTCGACGGAGAAGACCGGAGTGAGGAACAAGCAGTGTTTTTGTGGGACGGTCGGAGGGGGGGGGGGGGGGGGGGGTGCACATCAGAGAGTCGTAGGCAGGTGCATTCGCCTGAAGGTGTTCTCCAATCCAGCAAAAAACCTGCCCTATGGCTGGTCATTGTAGTTCGCGCAGGTGCGAGCGGTCCACGTGCACGAGCACTCAACGTCGAAATATTGGTTGAAGAAAGTTTGTGTGCATATCGCATGGATTCTATTTCACTAAGAGTATGGACTTTGAAACTGTAACCTTTGCTATACTCTACATGTGCACAAACTCAGTGTGGAGAGGTGGCCGGATATCCACCCTGAACCAGGGAGTAGTAAAATACCGTCTCCCTGCCCGGAACATACCACGACAATACAGTCAGACCTCGCTTAGCCGCACACATCCGTTTTCCACAAAAATATCCAGATAGGCGAGGGAACCGGATAAATCGAACACACATAAAGGTATGTTGCATGCATAGAATATGCTGTAAATCGGTAACCAGCTGTTTTCTTCCGGATGGAGAGGGATCTGGAGAAAAGAGGACCGGGTAAACGAGGTCTGACTGTACACACATTGCTGCTGAGCATGCAGACAGTAATTTACCCCGCGAGTCTGAGAGAGTTTTAGGGTGCATTCTTATATTCTCTAGCTTCTCGAAGAAGAAGAAAGGAGAAGTCGAAGAAAGTGGTACAGTAAATTCGATCTGTCGTTATTTTCGAGGTCGTTATACCCGATCTATAATGTACAGAAAGGACTTGCTAAACGACTTGGGCAACAGAATTGTGTGGGCTAAACTCGATTTGTCGTTATACCCAAGGTTGTTATATCCAATCTCCACTGTATTGTCTCCACATACGTTATTGTAAAACCAGTGCGTATCAAACGAAAAGAGATCTTACTCTAGTGCAGTGTTTAATAGTCATTAGGCGTGCCATACCTCTGTGCCACAGTCAAGGTTGCGACGAACAAAAAGAAGGAGAAATAGCTCAGAGAATTCGTATCCATGGCAACCAGCTCCAGGTAATGATCCAGTTTCAAGAGTACGGTATCATAAAACAAAACAAAAATGTATGCACTCTTGCAGGTATGCACAGAGGTGTAAATACTAAATAACATTATAGCATGGCTAACTAGTTAGTTTTGTGGGTTATAATTTACTAGAGTTCAAAATCTTTGTCAGCTCTATCGACCATGGCGTAAGCGATACTGACTATCGAGGTGGTCATGTCATTGCGGTAACATGCGCGTGCTAGCAAGGCATGTGTGTGTGTGTGTGTGTGTGTGTGTGTGTGTGTGAGAGAGAGAGAGAGAGAGAGAGAGAGAGAGAGAGAGAGAGAGAGAGAGAGAGAGAGAGAGAGATGGGTAGAGAATTTGCATACTGCTGGTTTTTCTTCACTGATGAAACCAAGTGGCAGCAGCGGTAGCTACTGGGGGGGGGGGCATAAATTGAGGCTCACTCAGCCATTGTGGGGATACATTGTTATCCAGCTTCGGTCCGAGCATGCATGAACTTGTTCTCCGCTGATTTGCATTCTTGGCCAGTCCAGTCCAGTCCAGTACCGTACTGGCGTACATGTAGTAATAAGTCTTAGACGGGAAAGAATTGCTATTTCACAAATTTGAGCAAGTTGAAGCGGGACTGCATTTTCTAAAAGCAACTTTGCAATCACATTATCTTCGTGACGGTATCGAACGGGGTTCGCTCTTGGCGACATGCTCGTCGTACGTGCGGCTCACGTACATCTCAAGCTGAGTTCGCGATTGGTGGCATGCTAGTGCGTGTGACACACGTATATCTCAAGCTGAACTTGCTCTCGCTGACACGTTACTAGTACATACCGCGGCGGCGGCTCAAGCCTTAGAAGGACGCGCGGCCTTGGCGACGATACTTCCGACTCGGCTTCTCGAGGTTGCGGAAGATGGCGACGCGTTCGGTGAGCCTTGGCGACTCTGCTACGTGATACAGGCACTGTCCGACCAGCTTCTTGCCGTGCGAGAGAGTCATAGAGTAATGGACCTCGAAGAGGAGAGAGTAGTGCTGAGCGTCACCATCCAGGATGTGGCGGAAGGTCAGTACGTCGCGACCGAAGTTGGGATCGCGAGACCCACTCACCACCCGCGTCTTCTCCTTCTGCGCTTTGTTGGGCATGAGTCGGCACTTGACGCGGCTGTCGGGCAGTGTGATGCGGCCGCGCTCGGGCAGCTTTGAGCAGCGTATGTTGCTTATCAGTATTGCCTGCAGGAAGCGATCGTAGCGAATACTGAACATGATGGCTCCGTACTGCCCAACGACTTCCTCGTCAATGCCCGGAGACGTGCAGCGACTTGTCGCCGGCGAGTACACAAAGTTGAAGCCGGCCATCGAGATCGCCTTGGAAACGCTCGCCTTGGCAACGGCCGAGCGCACCTTGGCGGCCATGTCGGCCGTGCCGCTCTCACCTTCCTGGTTAAGGTTGGGTAGGCTGTGGCTGCGCTTGCGCGAACGCTCAAACTCTGCCGCCACCACACCCAGGCCAGAGATGGTGGACATACGATTGCGTAACAACACGGCAGACGGGTCTCTCAGTCTGCCGCTCGACACCTGATTCGGCCGCCGCTTGTTCAGCGGGCGCGGCTGCTGCTGCGGCTGCTGCTGCTGTGCGGCCGCTTTCTGCTCGCTGTGCTGGTCATTGAAGCTGGCCATGAGCTCTTTGGTGCGGGCCGGTTTGAGTTTCACCTTGTTGGCGATGGTGACTTGCGGCTGAGAGCTGCCTGGCGAGCTGCAGCGGTGGCGTGACAGGTCCTGGATTCGCGCCGCTTCCGTCTCGTTTGGAATGCTCTTGGCGCGGCCCTGTCGCGCCTGTTGTGAGGTTGAGCCGCTGTCGGCCGTTCTGCCCATCGTGGCCGGCAACGTCTGCGTTTTGACGTTCTTCTGCATGAGCAGCTTGACCTTATCCACTTTCTGCTTATCGTGCTGCTGCTGCTTATGATGATCGGTTTCATCTAGCTCCCGCTGCTGTGCCCGGGTCTGCGTGTTGGGCAGGTAGGGATACGCCCCAGTTGCTCGCGTCTCGTACGGGCGGGGGCTGACCCGAGGCGACGTGGGGTCGTCGTCCTGCTCCGACCTGCTCTGCGACGGTGTGGCGTACGGCGGGCTGGCGGTGGAGGAGTCCGGCGACGGCGACAGACTCGCGGACTGCACGCTGCCATGGCGACCCCTGCTAATGCCCTGCTGCTGCTGTGAGCTCTTCAGTCGCGGCGAGGTCAGCTTGGCTCCGGACGAGGACGTGTACGGCGAGGAGGCGTTGGAATTCCGCTGACCTACGGCTATGGAGCCGGTGACGGGCGGCGGGTGAACGTTGACGTCGACGAGAGAAATACGAGGCGTGCGTTTGCTCAGCGCCGGCGACTTCAACGGCGACGACGGACGGTTCTCGCGGAAGATATCCTGCGGCGGGTGCTTGCCAATGCTGGGCGGCGGTCGGTTGATGCTGGCGATTGGTTTGGCCGCTCGGAATCCCTGTCCTTTCGCCGGCGTCAGCAGCTCCATCTCCCGCTTGGCCCTGTGTTGCTGCCAGCAGAGTCGTAATATTACGACCAGCAGGCACAGGCACAGGAACAGGGCCACGCCGAGCAGTATCACGATCAGGTCGGCGTGCTCCTGCACAAAGCCACCGATCTGAGCGACGTGTGAGCGCGCACAGAGAGCACATACACACGTGCACGGATAGAAGCATGTACAGAGAGCACATACAAGTGTACGCATGCACATACACATGCACATACACATGCACATACACGGACATAAGCACGTACACAATTCGCACACAGCACATCAGTATTACTGTTCACATACATTTACAAGTACTGACACAAATACACACGGATGCATTCACGCACGCACACACACACCCACAGGCATACACACACACACACACACACACACACACACACACACACACACACACACACACACACACACACACACACACACACACAGGCATGCACACACACACACACACACACACACACACACACACACACACACACACACACACACACACACACACAGGCATACACACACACACACACACATACACACACACACACACACACATGCATGCATGCATACACCACTCAATATCAACAGGACAATGGGATGAAATCGACTCCAAGCTCAAACATCTCCGGTTGCAAGTTGGTCTGTGCGTTCAAATCATGAACAAAGCCGGCGCAAACAGTTCTCGGTTCGCAGCAGTTGTTCAAGGAGTGGTGCTATGCGTAGAATACATGCTTTAGCCAGCCCCCCCCCACACACACACACACACAATTTGTGATTTGTCCATTTTTTCTGATGACTAGAGCTTTGTGCACTGCCCACCATTTGTGTCTGTATACCAACAGCTCGACGAGCAGATGTATTGTTAAAAGCAATACTTAGTTACTTACCACCTCAAAGTGATGTATCATAGTAGAGCAATAGCGAGCACCTCAAAGTGGGGTTTTTGAGCAATACTGAGCACCTCAAAGTGGGCTTTTGAGCAATACTGAGCACCTCAAAGTGATGTTTTTGAGGAATACTGAGCACTTGTTGTCACGCTGCTCCAAATAGAGCCAGTCATTTCCTTATCAGTTGTCAAGTTCACTGCCCAGTAGGAGGTTGCCAGTATCTCTGGACAAAGTCCAGGTGCAAACAGACTGTAATCAAGATCCAATGTAACCCTTCAGCACAACGCATCCCCATTGGTAGGCCTTTGCGGATAATGCCGGCAGAAAAATTGGCAGAATTCGGTACTTTTTCTGGTAAGTTTCATGCATGTTTGGTATGTGGATAAAGAAATGGAGCAGAATTCGAGGAATTGCCCGGCATAAGGTTTGTATGGTTCTGCCAATTTCACTGCTGTTCGAGCAGAATTTGCCACCTTTTCGAGCATTATCCGCCAATGCCTACCCATTGGACTTATAAACTCAGAGACAGTGCACCTGACCGGCCATAGTGCTCAAATGCCCGTAATGGGCAGAGCGTTGGTACACCAAAGCTACATGTACACAAAAGGAAAATAATGTAGGCCTTTTTTGTTGTTTGAAACTCGGATGTTGAGCCAATAATTAATGTAGAAAGGAAAAGGACATGCGGATACGAGTTAAGAGTAACTCTCCATCACTATAACCAGATACTATGTACAGTCAGAAAGTGCAACAACTAACTGTTGGGCACAAAACCGACAGAGTACTGAGTCGTTACTCAGAGTTTCATGGTAATACTGTTAACTCTGTACTTTATAGCAGAGGTGCTAGAGAGAGCAACACGGTACAATGCTGGTTTGCTGCTACCCTGAGTTCCATGCCATGCAATTGTCAAGCCGATCAGGCTGAGGTACGACACCGTACTACATACGTGT